CCCGCTCCCGCTGAGGCTCCTCGGGCTGGCTGAGGTGTCGCCTCTGAGCCTCTCCCCGACTCCAGGGGGGCAGTTTTGTGTGGACAGCGAGCGGATATCCTGGCAGATCCGCTTTTGGAGGGGATGCTGGCAGCCGTGCCCTTCCCCAGCCACGCGAAGGCCCCTGGAGGGTGAAGAGGTGCTGGGGGCGTCGGAGGTGAAGCACTGCTGTGGTGCACTGTTGTGGCCGCCTGGGCACGAAGGCCACGGGGTGCTCTGGGACCCCGAGGACAGCCTTGGCCGTGGGAGCTTTGCCTAATCTCACCTCTGCGGTGTGACAGCCCAGTGGGAGCATGGCCTGGCCCCTGTGATCAGGCCAGCCCTCTCTCCAGAAACGTCACGGTGAGAGGAGGCTGGCATCCAAAACATGGGGCTGCAGCCCCGAGGGGCCTGTGGGGCCAGCGGCAGCAGGCGGCACCGGGAGGGCATGGGCAGCACCCCAGGAGGCTTCTCAAAACAGTGAGAGCTGGGGGTGTGCAGTCTCAGTATTACGCATTTTAGTAACAATGTTGTCTATTTGTACGCCACTTCTCTAGCAGTGGTTTTGTACATTTTTGGTCCATTGACTTACAAGCAGTTAATTCTGACGTCCACTGGTGTGAGAGAAGTGGAGGCGTCGTGTACCCTGTCGGCAGTACCCGGCCAGGGCTCCCTTGTGCTCAGTCCCCAGGGGGCTGCCAGCGCAGGAGCTCATCTAGAGAAAGTCATTTTAGTTAGCGGGAATAAGCAGCCTACCAGTAAACTTTGTTTTATTTGGGAGGAGCATCTGGGAGGCTTCCAGGAGTTGCAAAAACAACCGCCATGTACTCCTCTTTGCTGAGGTGGTCAAAGTACAGTCCAAAGCTAAATGAAGTGCCTTGTCAGCTTTTCCCTTTACTGTGAATAGGGGTGCTAGCAGAGGAGAAACTCCTTGAGATTTGTGTTAGCACCTTATATTGTTGTTAATGTTTCTGTTTTGATGCAGTACTTGGGCATTTAGTATGTTGAAAAGTTTCTGAGTAGTCTGAAAAGCTTAAGCACCCACTCCAGTGAATTTTGTTCCTTTCTACAGTGGGAGCAAGGCTGAGGTGCAGATTGAGCCCCTGTTAAGTTAATGTCAATTTCTGCTGGTTTCAAGGCATGGTGTTTCATTTCTAGGGCCTGAGCAGTTATCCAATCCCTCACTTATTCTCTTGGTCAGACTTTGGCCTACTGTGTTGGGGGATTTTCTTTTTGTGGTCATGAAACTCAGTTTATTAGAAATACAGTGAAGTCACAAGGGCAGCATTGCTAGAAACCCAGACGAATTCACTGATCACTCATGGAAATGAGGTTCCCGTGGTATTTTTTTCTCCATTAATGGTTGTGTATTGCCGGGGAGGAGAAGAAAAGAGAATGAAAGGATCTTCTCATCTTTGCATAGCTTGTATTGCCAGGTAGTCAGAAGAGAAGTGTGGTATTGAATACTAAAGCAATAATTTTGATTCTAATGAATCTTTGTCAAACAATCAAATTCTTTGTCCTGCGCGTAGGTTATTTTTTAGTCCTTGGAATTAAACTTCAGAAGAAGTTTAACTGGTGCATAATTGTGGCATATCACACATTTCTGTGATGCATAATAGTTAGCAATACCAACATCTTACGGCATCTTTTTAGATTTGTAATGCTACTTTTTGTTTTGTTTTTCAGAGAATGCAGATGGTAAATATATTTCCCCATTTCATGACATTCCACTGTTTGCTGGATCTAAAGAGGTATGTATTTATGCCTTGAAACACAATTAATTTCAAAATGATAACAGTTTTGTTGGTATTCCTCAGGTAAAAATGCAGTTTTTAAAAGCATTTTTTTTTAAGCAATTAACAGACAAAAGTATAGCACCGGAAAGGACCATTTTAACCCAGGCTATTACATTATTACATTACCTTATGTAATACAGGCACAATAACTCTGCCAGATTTTCTCTGCTGAGTTCAGTAACTTGCAGTGAAACATAATGATTACTGTGTAGACAAGCCTAGGTGTCTCTAAGTCTCCAATTGACTGAGGGCAGGGGGAACCCTCACTCTATCTTGTTCTCCTCTGTGTTTAAGGTATGTGTTTATGTGCTCTTGAATTCATTTTCTACTATTACTCTTTTTAAAGTGGCATTTTTCTACATCTGCAATTAAAAGTGTACGTTTCCTTGCAGTAGGAGAGGTACAGCACACACACACTTATGTAACTTAGGATGTATTTCTTTAATTCCCCAAAGGAGCATTATAATTGGAAGCCAACAATAATGCCCAAGAGAGAAGTGGTAATCGCACCTTTGGAGAATTACAAGGCGTGAGGTGCAGCTGAGCACTTTCATGTCTTGTTAGCCACACTCCCTGGAGTTTCATTATAGCAATAATGAAATGCCTGTTTTATGTGTCACCGGTGGGAACTGCCAGTCTTTAGTTTAGACTTAGGTTTGCTTATTATGGTATGCTTGTTACACAAACAGGTTGGGAGGGTTTTGGCCATTTTCCTGATTTGTTGCTGGGTCTCTATGGACGATATGAATGGTGAGAAAGGTCAGCAGTTGCAACATGTTCAGATTGAGACTTCTGAACTAATGAACCGATCTCTTAAATTACTTAAAACGAGAGATTAAAAATATGCATGAAACCTTTTTGATCAGCAGACCCTAAGTGTGCTAGTCAATGGAAGAGGTGAGTCTCTTTCAGAAAGTCATTACTAAGATGTTCTGTTCAATGGGTGCTATTGCTGGAAAAGCAATGGGCATTTTCATCACACATTCCCTGGGGGCCTTGCTGTCCCTGCATCTAGAGTTTAAGGTTTGGAGGGGTGGATTATAGTCTGTGATTCTTCTGTACATTAAATTATAGTACAGCAATGTCTGATAAACGTGGAGAGGCTTTCAGTTCGGTGTGTGAGCAAGGAAAGAGCATTCTGCAGGACATAGGGGCCTGAGGGGGGAGCGAGAAACGGAGTCATTGTGAAGGTCTCCATTAATTTTGCTTTCTTTGCAAGAAGACGATGTAAGGAGTTGTATGTTATATTCTTTCCCTCCCCTGGTCTAAGCTTTGTGGACTTTATTTTATGATGAATAACTCCAGCCTTATTTTCCTTACTGGTTTTGTTTGTTTGGTTTGTTTTTTATCTTTTTCAACTGAACAGAAGGATGACTCTGTGTTTTTAATTGGTTGATTGGGGAGAGGCCTAAATTGCTGCTTAAATTTTTTAGTAGCTGGGAGAAGGTGGATGTGTCCTTGTACATTTTTGCCTTCCTCTGTTAACATCTGGAAGGTTGTAATTTCACAATGAAACCGGACTGAGTACTTTTAAAAGTTATAGTTTAGGCCTTTATGCTCACAAAGGGATGTTTCAGTTGCATTGAAAACTACTGTTGTCTGTATTTATGTGAATACAGTATTGCTCTCTAATGTTCTTTATACACTTCTTTACTTCACTCTTTCCCTATAGGATAAAGAGATTCCTGCAAAGAGGTCAAAGACTACTGGAAGTGAGGTACTGCTAAGCTTTTTTTTTTTTTTGACTATTCCCTCTATTTCCTTTCCAACATTGCTTTGCTATTCTGCAAAGTGAACTTGCTCTCACTGAATATAGTTGACATATCTTCAAATGCAAGTCTTTTAGGAGGAGGAAGCTTAAAGGGATTTAATATTCTTCTCTTTGAATGGGCCAGAAATGTCAGCATTCTTTTATTCATCAAGATGTTCTCAAAGGCAAACACTTTTATACCACTCTTTGAAAGGTTCGTTATGACTATTGCAGCGTAGATATGTTATCTTTTTGCTATTGCGTTCAGAAACATTTGCAAAAAAACCTCAGTTAATGAAATATTCATTATGCTCTGACTGTGGGTAATCTTTGGTATATATATAAAACTTCAGAAATCCGAAGTATGTTAGGGCAGAAGTTGGACTTAGTATCTGCTTTTCAGAGCTGAGGATATGTTTTCTATACTCATCTGAGAAGCCCAAGGAGAGAAGAATCACATCTCCTAACAGTTCAGTATTAACCAGCACTGAAGTTAAGCCTAACAGAAGCCCAAAAAACCATGGAAGGTCACCTGCGGCTTTTTCTGTGAAACAAGATTTGGTTTTGTAAGTGTCTTTTCAAAAATGTAGCATTTTTTGCAGTGCTTTTCCTGGCATAGGAGTACCTAAAAATTAGTGGAAGAAAGTGAAGGAAAAAAATGAAACAAACTATGCTTTAAGGGCATGATGTGTCTGTGTGTCCCCCAGTCTTTATCTTCTCAATATCTGTTTGGCCAGTCATATTGCAAAACTGTAACTACCCATGCGATGTGAAAGAACCATCCTAACTGTCTGGGTTCTCATAGTTTTGCAACTAGTGTGTGGTACACTGGTGGTTCTACTGTACACCAGCCCCCACACAATCCTGTACCATGTATTTCCTCTCCCTTTGCCCTGTGATTCATTCAAGCTACAATGCCTAGGTAACGCTTTTTAGACTTCCTGTTGCTTGATGCCCATTTAAGTACTATTTAGTAGATGTAGAATCATGCCTGAAACATGAATTGTTGAGGAGAAAGAGCACGTGCCAGTAGTCTTTCTCAAAAATCATTGTCTTGCAACGTGAATTCTTAATTACTGCTCTTGCTGGAGGTCAAGTATTCTGTTTCTTACCTGCTTATGAATACTGTGACAATGCTTGCCAGTTGTGAAGATGCAAAGCCTGTTTTATGCAGTGTCTAAAACTGTTCAAAACTGCATTTGTCTGTGTAGTGGGAACCATGATAGCTTGTTGCAAACCACGTTTCTAGTACTTTTTTTCTGATCTCTGGAGCAGCCTATGGAGTGGGAGGGAAAAAACGCCAATGAGGCTGAGTAGCTCTTGCTTTCTGGGCCAGTGTAGACTCCAGAGCTGCTTCACATAACTCCTCCTATGAGAGCTCTGGACTGTGGTTTAATAGAACTATGGAAAATAAGCAAAGGCAAATGTACATTCCAGTCGTTGCGGGCTTCTGATGCGAGTAAGCAAACAAACGTGCAGGCTATAGGCTTCCGTATAGACCATGCTTGGTCTTTACTTAGATGGTGAAATGGGAGAATGCAAATCATTTAGAAAACCCTTTTTCATCATCTTTGGGAGTTGGGGAGAAGAGAGAAAACAGAGGGATCTTTGTGTTCAGGAAAGCGGTTTCTTCTTACACTGGGCCCTTCAGCAGCTCTCCTCACCTTGGCCTGGTGAGAAATGCATCCCTGTGTGCTGTATTTAGGGAAAACATAGCTTAATCAGGGAATGAAGGGACAATGAGGAATTTAATGCCATGTACTGATTTCTAAAGACCTTTGAAGCACTGTACTCTTTACTCTTATCTAGGGATGCAAAGACTACTATTGATAACCTGGTGTTCAGTCGATCCTTGCACTGAATTTGGCCAGAATTCAAAAGTTGTAGTTCCTCTTGCCCTGGAAACACCTTGGCATCTTTAAAACTTGTGCTTTTAGGGTGGCAGTTATTTGTTACTCTCCACAAGGGCAAGCCCTCTTAAGAGTGTGTTAAATTATGCTGAACTGGGGTTCATCAGATGGCAGTTTAGCTGTGGAAAATGACAATAATTCTGCATGAGTCTCTTCAGTCTGCCTAATCTACTTGAAATTGTTCTTGGTGTTCCTGATGCCAGAAAAGCAGGTCTGAAAATCGAGGAGTTTCAGCTTTCAATGTTCGTGGGATAGGGGAATGCACATCGTACAAGTCTGTCAGCTGTTTTGCAGTCTCAGCTTGTAGTTCTAAGGGAAACGCTGTGGTGTTTCTGGTATGAACTGTTCTCAGTAGTGGAGACATTTCTTGCAACATTTTAGACCTTCCCAAATCTCAATTAAATTTAGCTTTGCAGTCACTGTTGACAACTGATCTTTCTGCTTTCACAGATGTGTTTTGGCTGTTTGAAGACTAGAGAAAAGTTATTTTGAGGGAGAAACTGTGCTGGAAGAAATCATATTCAGCTTCAGTCTCAAAATTATTATCAGCTTACAATCTGAACCTTTGCTTTGTCTTAAGCATTGGAAGCACTTGGAACTCGCTCCTGCCCAAGTAAATCTCTGTGAAAGGTATAAAAAGTTTCACATCTCTCTCTGGAAGAGTGGGTGTTCCCACTGTGGTTACAGTCTAAACTGTCAGAGGCTGATTGTTGAATATGGTCTTCCATGTCTAGCAGGAAGAAGGTCTGAAGAGGTCACTGTTTTCTTTTCAAGACAAATGTGACATGTTGCTTCCCTGCTGTAGTGAAAGGGTTTCTAATCTACTTGTCATTGTATGTTTTTGGTAAAGTATTCACATGCCATCTCATTCAGAGGACCCAGGTGTTCTTGAATACAAATTTTTATTTAAAATGTTGGCCTTGGTAAGGAATCTGTCCAAGCATGTAGAGATTATAGTCCTCTAACTTACAGACACCCACAAGAGCATTTGAAAAAAAAAAAAAACCCAGAGAAAGAAACAAGACAGCTTTTGTTTTGTTGCATCCAGTGGGTTGCACAGTGCTGGAGCGCCCTTGTGGACTTCAGTTGAATTCCTTCTGTCAGGCAAAAACTTCTGATAAATTAACTAGCCAGGTGAGATATAAGGGGTCATCAGAGTGGTCATGCAGTCTGAATAAGTGATCTGATAGAGGACCTCATGCTTGGAACAGTGTTCAAAACTGGTGTCAGAGTTGTCTTATGATAAAGTCATTATGTTTCATAAGAAAGGAAAAGCTGTCATCATTTCCCGTGCAGTACAGGTGTGCACTTTGTACTGACTTTGTATTCTGTCTTAACTACAGCCTCTGTAACCTTCTTTGGTCACATTAGACATTTTTTTGGTATACGTAGCCTGGGCTATAGTGTGTCCATTATGTGTGTTTAGGGATTTGTGTGTTCCAAATTCTAAATTATCAGTGAAGCTCTCATCCTGATGCTTGAACTTGCCCAGCCTTTTTCTATGGATGTGTCCAATAGCTGTAAGCCTTGCTTGGTGTTCTTGTAGATTAACAAATACTGAGAATAGAAGTAATCTTCACTCAGCGGTCCAGTTAAAATCTACTGGAGTAGAGTTGATTTACTGAGAAAGTTGCATCAGTGATTTGATCAAGCTTAACTTCAAATAAATGGTTCCTTAAACCTGAGAAAGTCAGTGTTTCATTTTCATTCATGTCGTAGTTTTGCAGGTGAAATGTGTCCAGTAACTAGTTTATCAGAGAGTATGTCCGACACCACTTTTGGGATACCTGTGGGTAAAAACTTACATAGTGTTCGTGATTCCCTTTTCACTATAACATGGGGGAAGTACACTATGAAGAGGCTGCAGGCACTTTGCATTTATGGTGGGCACTGCATTCCTTTTTTGCTATGTGGCACGTTAATTTATATTGGGAAAGTTCCATTGAATTCTCATTTAGATACAGTATATTTGGTCTCCAGATATTGCTGGTATCTGGTTTGTTGTTTTCATTGGCAAATACCTTGTAGCAAGTGTTACATTGGGAATGCTTATAACATGGGTACTCATTTTATAAGGAAGCCCCTCTCCATTTATTTCTGGTTGTATTTCATGAGTGTCCTTATTTTCCTTCTCCTTTTTTTCCCTTTTTTTTTTTCTTTTTTCCTTTTAAACATCATCCTTTGTTCACACTGCTGCTGGACTGCAGCTCATCTTTTTCATTCTCCTTAGTCTTCAGGTGCATGCTGCCGTGTTCAGTTGATGGTTGATGAGAATCCCTGCAAGATTGCAAATGAGCAGACAGAAAGGAAATGGAAATGATAGCTGCTTTTTCTTCTGTCTTGTGAGCTCAGAGCTTCTCAGTGAGGAAGGGTCAGTAGCCCCCAAATGCTGCCTCTGATGCTTTCAGATTTTTTTTTTTTGAGAACTCTAGTATAAAAACGACTAAAGTAATTGTAAGCTTTAGCGTATCTCTTCTCCCTGTCACGCAAGGGTGATGGTGAATGGCAAGCAGGCCTTAAAAAGTGGTGATGTTTGTCATTTTATGAAATTATACTAAGTTTCTGTTCCTCTCTTTATCTCTCTTGTTTTGTCACTTTCCTCGCTCTGCATAGGTTGTCCACGTCTGCTTCAAATTAGCTGAACCCTCAGAGTTGAGCATTAAGTGTTGCAACCCTTGGGCAAAATCATACCTGTTCAAAACCCTCCCCCCAAATGCACCAGCTAAGGAGCTTGGGAAGACTGGGAAAGGAAATAGTTGAACAAGAAAGGGAAAGTTAGGTAAGGAAGAATTGTTTCTGAGAACGGTGTATGGGAGTCCAGAAAGGCAGGTTGTAAAAATAGCATCAGAAATGTGCTTAATTTTTTGGTTTTTCTTCCTGTGATATTCAGGTTTGTAATAACAAACCCTGGTCAAAATGAGTTATCTTCTATAAGAATCTGTACAGCCGGAGCTAGCAGTCATTTTTGACCCTCAGTCTTAGTCAGAACGCTGACTCACAGTTTACCCGGGTGCAACAGTCTGTATTTTCCTTGCTTTTCTCAACACCTGCTGTATGAATACGTTGAAGTATATTTGTATATCTTTTTATCTTTCTCTGGTTTTCTTATTTCAAAAAACAAAAACTGTTCCCATTCTCTGTTTGAAAGAGACATTTCTGCTTGTCTCAGCAAAAACGATATCATGATACATTAAAAATGATGTTCAACTGAAGTGGGATGCAGTAAGTTGCCAAGCAGTGTTAAAGAAAACACCCCAATAAAGCAAACACTTATTTACATCCTACGTGAGTTCCCATGTAATGTACTTAGCATGTAGTTCTTAGGAAATAAAGGATATCATTTAGACATACTGGTTGTTCCTTCTGATGTCATTTTCTGCTGATTTTCATATTCAGTTTTAGGAACTAGGAAATGCACTTTTGACTTCTCTGTGTTGAGCAAATGGACACCGTGTTGAGCAAATGGACACCCCCCCCCCCCCCCCCCCCCCCCCCCCCCCCCCCCCCCCCCCCCCCCCCCCCCCCCCCCCCCCCCCCCCCCCCCCCCCCCCCCCCCCCCCCCCCCCCCCCCCCCCCCCCCCCCCCCCCCCCCCCCCCCCCCCCCCCCCCCCCCCCCCCCCCCCCCCCCCCCCCCCCCCCCCCCATCACGTCTTTAAGGTATAATAGAGCATAAGTACAAATGTCTGTCTTGTGTTCAGATTAACCCAAAGTCAAACAAGCTACGTAATACTCTGGGTTGAAAGTCCCTCTGTGCTCTGTCGGGTCACTTCCCCTAGCAGATGGGTTCTGTCCCTTTTTCTGAATGTAGGAAACTGTTTCCTCTTTTTTTGCATGCTCCAGGAGGCTGTCCTTCTGAAGAAAACGTCAACCAGCAGACTTGGCATGAGGCTAGCCTGTAGGAACTACTCCATCTGGCCTGTTGTACAGTATGCTGTCATGAAGTGGAGTCCCTTCTACATTAGGCGCTTGCAGAGTTGGATTAAATCCGGACTGCAGCAAGCAGCGATCTCATAGGCAGACCAGTTGACTGCTGTCATACTAAGGCAGTTAAATGGTAAACTTTCCAAAGCAGTTTTCATTTCATGAGAGATCTTTTCCTGTCACTGGAAGGTGTGTCAAATGGGCTGCTGAAACAATCTCACCATTGCTTGTGGGGATAGAAGTACTCACTTGGGGGTTTGATGAGGTAGAATTTTTTGTTTTACTGATTTAAAATAAAGATAAAAATATCAATTACCAGATGCATTCACCACCCAAAACTAACCACTGAATGGCATATGCAGATGGTAATCTGTGAAGACAGGTGGTGTCTGACACTTGCATTTCTGTTTGCAGCTGAAGCAGGGACTGTTTTGCAGCAAGGGATGGGGGAGAACATTCAAGTGGTCAGAAGGAATAGGTGCTTGGTCTGGGAAAATAAGCGTGATGGAAAAATTCCTGGGTGATATTTAGGCAAGGAGGGAAACAAGATAGGAAAGAGGAGGGAAAAAACCCTAAAAAACCAGAGGAGTATAGTTCTAACTGTCAAACTATCTAGTATGCGCTCTCCTTTCCACACCAGTGAATCCTGTCTCATCACTGTGAAAATGTGATTGCCCTATAAATAAAACTTTTTATTTTTAAATGTAAGCACTGCATGAAGTTATTAATCTCTTGTAAATGCTTGTGGCAGCTTAGCATTAGAGGGAGTACTTTCGGGGATTTTTTTGCATACAAATTAATCTGTCAGGCTGTCACATTTAAGATCTTGACAATTCACATTTGACTGATACCACAAATTATGAAGGCCTGGTCTTAGAGCTGAGTTAAATGCAAGTGATTTTTTGTTTTTGAGAGCATCATTGTATTCATTTCAGTCCAGTTATTGTCCAGCCCTGAGAGCTGTTTTGGTGAAGACCTGGAATAACTCTTGACCAATTAAAGCTCAAAACCAAGATTTACAGGCTACCAAAGCCATTGTATTAGACATGGTCAGGAAAATGTACAGTGGCATCTAAACAACAAAAATACAGGATTGTGGTGGAGGGGAAGACATTGTGTATAATTCCAGGAGTAGTTTGTAAGTTTTCTGCCTGTAGCTACCAGTCAGAACAATTCTTTGACCTGCTTGGCAGTTCCTTAAGAGTTTCTTGTCAGCACTGGCTTTCATGCTGTGCATTGCTTTTTTCCAAGTGTTTCCCAGATGGATGTGCAGAGTTTATTTGGCTCTCTTTCAACCCTTCCCTTACCTGCTGCTGCACGTATGTTGCTTTGTTCTGTCTGCTTCCTCAGTGTTGACATCTTTGAGCTTTCTTTCTGATCGCTTCCCTGTTTCAACCATTCTTATATACGTAAGGTGTACTTTATGAAACTAATCTGAATCACCTTTCTCCTTTTTTTTTGTTTTTTCTTTTTTTCTTGTTTCATTTGGTTATGACCTGATCGGGAAAAGTGACTCCATCCAACATGCCACTGATTGCAGTATGGGCACAGTACTTATGGATGGCAAATTTAATTTAAATTTACTGTCAGGATTGTGCATAGCTTGTGATCTCATGGGAGGAACGCTGCGTGACAGTTGGGATTTTCCTTTGCTTTCTTGCTTTCCACATTCCAGGTTTGTTTGGGAGGAGAAGATCATAGAACCATTGGAATTACTTTAATCAGACTGTGGCATTGACCCTGGTAATGGTATTTCTTTGTTGCAGCTGCAGGGTACAGGGAGCAAAAATACAAATATTTAGGAGTCTGCTGGAGCTTTAATTGCAGTGTAGTTAAAGAGTCAGTGCAAGTCTTCAGTTGGTTTAACTTTATTTTTTTTTCCTACAAATTTCTGCAAAAACATATTTTGTCCTTCCTGAACTGTTGTGATTTTTAATACCAATGTACGTTTTCTTTGGCTATGAAGAGATGTCCCAGGCAATGTGATATTTCTGGGGTTATTTTAGTAATCCAGGACAAAATAGGTTGTAGACATTGTTGGGTGGTTTGGTCTAGTTACCTGTTTTGATTACTACTTTACTCCTTGGTAGCGCTTACCTCTGACAGCTTCAGAAGAAGAAACCTTAGGGCAGTTACACAGAGTTTTTCTCTTTGGAAAATGTCACTTTAACCTCCTCAGTAAGAATGGCGTAGATTGCTTATTTTTCTTCTGAAAGCATGAAAGTTTACATGTTTTAGGTTTATTCCCCCCACACCCCCTTTCTTAAAACAACTGTCACTTTGTTTCTATTAGGAAGAAGGCTAACGGAAACACGAGGTGTCTGTGTCCATGTCCTTCCTCTGCCATCACTTTTGGATTCATTTTGTCTCACTTCAACCAGATTTGACTGAGAATCAGAAATGTCAGTAGTTGTTGCATTTGCATGGTTTTTTTAAAAAAAATGAATGAAGCAAAAGAGGAGGGCCTGAAGAAATAAATCCTCAGGGGGAAAAAACCAAAACATTGTCCTTTCCAGTGCTTGAGGGAAGCTAACTCTGTCTTATAGAAACGTCAAATCCTCTTTGACTAATAGACTGAACCACTGCCTTGTGGCAAAACGTTCCGTGGACTTTCTGAACATTTTCTGAAGAGTAGTATTGATACGGGAATAAAAAACATCATGTGGATTTTCACTACTTGTTCATATTCTCAAAGGAGTGGGCTGGGAAAAGGATGAACCAAGGAGGCTGAATATCGTTGTGCGGAACTAAACAAATTGCACTTAACGTAAAAGCAGCTGGAACAGAGATGTGATATATGTTGCAGCTGAACACAGAGGAGAGAATTTGTCTTATTGTAAAATACTAATGGCCAAGTGGATTTTATTTTCAGTTCTGTCATTGGTTTTTGTTTTAGGTCCTGTTTAATATGATTGTAGAAGTGCCTCGTTGGACGAATGCAAAAATGGAGGTAATTAAGAAAAATACCTTGATTATACAGGTATTTATGAAAGTTATGACAATGCAGTGGCTTCCAATAGTCAGAGTTTAATCAGTGTGGATTACTCTTTACACGTAAAATTTTCTCCGTTAAAAAGTTAATTTGAAGTTGTGCAGACACTTTCCTTGCGATTATAAAAAGTGTTGAGGTTCTAATTTTGTTTCCCTTCCACAGGTGAGCACTGCTTCTTGACAGCCCTCTGACTGCAGAGTGCAGCATACCTGCAACAGAATCCTAGAGTACTGGCTTGCAAGACATTGTCCAACATTTAGTCTTACTCTTGCTTGCTCATAGAGCGTTCCACTCAGAGGATTTAATTCCTCTCATTTCCGCTGTATAGTGTGCTAGGCCAAATCTTTACAAATGGAGTTGCAAATGAAAAAGCATTTCCTTGTGACAAAAAAAAAAATACTTGGGGACATCACTGATTGAAAGTATCTGTTCCTGCAGGGAGATATTTTAAAATAGTGGGTTGTTCCTCTGCAGTTACAATATAGAAGCTGAGTAATGCTTCATCTGTAGCGTTCGTGAAACAACAGATCTCACCAGGATATGTCCTGTCTTCCTGAACATTTGTATTAATTTTAGGGATGCTTCCCGGATGCTTTTGAGGAAGTTTGTGGTTGAGCTGTTAACTATTCTGATTATTAAAAATAACACTGAAGAACCTCCCCAGCCTGTTATTTCAGAATTTTGTTTTCTCCTTTCCCTGACACTGGAAAATCTTTTGAACTGTGTTTACCACCACTTGGATATTTACCTTGTATTTTAAGATGATTATTTATTGTGGAAGTTGAGTTCTCTTTTGCAGAGCTTCCCTTTGACAACGCTATTTGAACGCTTTGCGTAAAGCTCCGGTTGCTCTCTCTCCCTTTTTCTTGGCACATTATGTCAAGGGTAGAAAAGCTTGTTGTCCTGTTAGGTTCAGAAATCAGTGGGTTTAGGCTTTTCTTGCTTGATAGAGGAGACCAGATGTAGTTCTCTAATCCATAACTTGTAATATACTTGAAATTTCCTGCATTAATTGTTAAGGCAGTTATCTTGCCTTGCCATTGTGTCCTGGCAGTCCTTCAGCTCAGACTGTGGTAAGGTGCTAATACCAGGTCTTGTCTGCATCTCCGTGCTGAGATTCCCTTATGTGGAATGGAGACTGTAGGAAATTAAACCTTGCCTTAGGATGAATGTTTCCCACTGTTACATCCCCAGTGCCAGATCTCCTGCTCATCAGTTTGTTGTATTTCTGTTGTTCTTCCCTTGATTTTACTGAAGGTGCTTTTTGTGAGACTTTTGTCTGCTGTTGTCAGTTACTCCTCTTTGTCCCGGTTTACATCAAGAAAAAGCATTGTTGAGCTCCACTTCTGTCAAAGTTCCAGGTGGCATATTCGATGTCTTCACTGTTAAGTTATGACCAGAAGCAGGTAGAATCAAGTGTGAAACCAGAAATGTGTGAACCTTCATCTCAGCTCTTGGGGAGGGTTTACTTGTGGAGTAAGTGCATCCTATTGACAGTTTGGTGTGGTTCAAAAAGGTGGAATTCTTTTGGGATGGCTTTGGTGGTGGTCCTTTAGGTAAATTACAAGGATGTTGTAAAATTAATATGGACCAAGGGCTGTGTGCTTACGCATGCAAGCTATGTCCCAACTGAGCCAGTGTGTGCTCGTAGCCTGTAACAAATGTGATGCCATTCAGATGAGTGTTTGTAAGCAAGACCCAAGCTAACATGGATTGGGTTGTGGTGTGGAGTGTCAAAAGGATGGCTACAGTGAATAAGCTGATGTGTGGTAGGTAGCTTATACAGCAGTGGGTTTGTATTTGAGGTTTTGGGGAGGATGATGACAATAAGAAACTGTTCAGCTTTAATTACGTCAGTCCTTCTGTGAGTGCTTCTTTGGGAATAAGAATGCTGCCTTCTACTGCTAGCTTAACTTGTTCCAAATCTGCATGAAGTTGGCATTTGGTGACTATGCAGAACTTGTCCTTACTAAAAAGCATTTGTATGCTAAGAGGTGATGGAGAGAAGGGATGTATGCAATAGGAGAGCAATAAACAGGGGGTGAGAAGAAGATGAAACATTTCCCCTGTTGCTGTCAAAGCCCCTGTTGTCTGAAGAACTTACGCCAGCATTTGTACGTCCGTTGAACTTGTACTATAAAGTGCAAGAGCTTCTCACTTAAGTTCTTTTTAGTATTTATGTTTGACCATGACAGTCTCCTTATAAATTTATGACTTTCTCTTCTACATTCAATTTTTTTCTTGCATACTTCACAACGTTATTTAAAACCTTAATAAACTGCTTTTAGAACATGACCCTTGAGATTTAGAGTGAGGCCATCGTACTTTTAATACTTCTCAAACCACAAGCACATGCTCCCAAATGGAGCTTTCTAACTGGTTGGGTACAGAATGAATTGCTTTCCATTTTACCATTCTCTCTCTCTCTCTCTCTCTCTCTCTCATGATCTGCTTAGATTGCCACTGAGGAGCCGTTGAATCCCATTAAACAAGATATAAAGAAAGGCAAGCTTCGATATGTGGCAAATATCTTTCCTCACAAGGGTTATATATGGAATTATGGTGCCCTCCCACAGGTAACATTTTTGTTATAATGGTGAAAGTTTTCTGTCTTCTGTGTAAATTGCCTTGTAAATCTTGGGTACTGCTGAATGCAAATCAGTTGCAAGATGGATGTTTCTCTCTGATACATTTGTAAATTAGGATTTTTTTTATGTTGAGCTTTATTGCGTCCATAATTTTTGATCAGAATCTGGGTGTGGGTATAAATATGTGCTGTGTTTCAGGAAGGAGTTAAATGATAAGAAACCTCGAATCTTTAGTCTGCATCTCTGTACTATAGTGACAGAATTAAACTGTCATGGTCTGCCATTCAAGCATACTTTGTCAAGTAGCCCTTTTCTAACTAATTTTTTTTTTCATGTATTGCAGCGTCAATTTTAATTGGGATTTCTTAATATCTTTAACAGAGGAACACAAAGGCTGTTCTTTTTTAGATGAAACCTCAACTGCCTTAGTTAACTTTTCTCTGAACTGTGAGACTTTACTGATCATGACACAGTCAAAACTTTGAGCCTTGAAAAGGCCCAACTAATGGCTGAAATTTTGAGCGTACTGAAAGGTTTTAAACTTTTTTCATTTCTGTGAATAACACATTGGAGTTAAATTAGTACTGAAGAACATGGTGGAGCTAGAAAAGAGTAACTTATTTTCTTTACAGTTAACTGCATAAGCAATGTAGGTTTAGTCCTGAAAATCTGCTTTCTGTATTTGATCTCTGAAGAGGAGATACCAGGCAGGTGCTGGAGTATAGCAATGAAGTTCTTACCCAGTCAGCAGTTTCAGTAGACAAAGCTTCTAAGTAGGTATAGTTGGGAACCAGCAATTCCATTTAATGTTTTGAAATTTGTGTGTGCTTTAGTACAAAGCCAAAATTAAACATTTGAATATTTTCCTGCACAAAGTGCATTATTTGGGACTGATGACACTTTCCCCAGAAGAAACGTTCAGCTCCCCTTGTTGCCTTCTAAGTCAGAGAGGTCTGGAGATAATTGTCATTTTTATTTTCTGTAATAACTTTAAAATACCGGTTGGATCATTACACCTCCAATTGTTGAAGTCTAGATGATAGGCCAGATTCCTACTAGCAGCTGTAACAAACAAAATCCGATTCGGTGTCTCCATTACCACAAGAGGACTTTTCATCAGGACCAGCATTTGCCAGAAGTTCAGCCCTAGTGTATGGCTTAAAGATATGTATTTGTGGCTGCTGTTTTATGCTGTGGAACAGGGAAGAAAAAAATGACGGTAGGACTACCATTATTGCAGGAGTTGCTGTACAGTCCAGAGAACAATACCATTCCTAGCAAGCTTTCCTTCTAACCTACAGGTGGAGGGGTGAAGCTGGGCAGGAAAATAGTACCGGTATAATGCAGCCGTAAATAAAAAGCACTTTGGAAAAGTATTGGAAAAATAAGTTTTAAGTTGAAATTCTCTCTTGGCTCCACTTCAGCAATTTTTTGGTAATGATTCTGCTACCTAAGCACCTGAGCGTCTGCTTTTCACAGTTTTGCCTTTTAGTATAAGTCAAGTTCTCAAGAACAAGTTTGAGGCGAAGGTTTGACCGTGGACAGCAGGAGCTAACAGTATAGCTCCTTGGGGGAAAAAAGACTTTCTAACACCTTTCAACAAACCTTTATTGGACTCAAAATTCTTACCAGGAAAGCTTCTCAACTTTAGAATGAGTTACTCATTACTAGCCAGTAAGAGATGAAACAAGTACTGGTCTGGTAATTAAGTTAGTATAACTTGGCTGTGATTCCTTGCTCGTACAGAGCTCAGAGCAGGGATTTGAACTTGCCTCCTGGAGAAGCTGCTTTGATCTTAAGCTGCTCGCTGTTCTTGGGAATGTACACATCTCAAAATACTCAGAAATGTTTCATACCTAAAACTAAAAACTTTAAAAAGCTAATTGGGTGCTGACAAATCCATACCTAGGAGCTTGGTTAACTCAAAGTCTAGATGTTTTTGAAAGCAACTTATGTTAGTGCCATGGTATTTAAAGAGTATAATAAGAATGTGATTGTAGGATGTTCTAGCTTAATCACACAACCACTAGTAACCAGAAAAATACATATTCAGTGTCCTCTGATGCCTTAATCACTGCAATTTGATTAAGCGTGTCTCTTGAGTCACGGATGCAGTTAATACTTTTGTTACTATGTCCTCAGTAATCCTCATGTTACTTGTCCTGAATATGAGGATGAGTTACTCAACGTAACTCATTGGCTGTTGTTTGCTTTTTCTTTTCCCGTTGAGCAAGACTGTTCTCAGAAAGCTGATGTTTTTATTGGTGTTTTTATTAATCTTAGTAATTTAGTGGTTAGATGAATTGTAATTGCAGATCAGCTGGTAACTGATAATTCTCTTTCCTTTGACAGACCTGGGAAGATCCAAGCCATACAGATAACACTACAGGATGCTGTGGGGATAATGATCCTATTGATGTTTGTGAAATAGGTTCAAAGGTTTGTCTTTATCAGGATTAATTTAATTTATCAAGGTTAATTTAATAATTTGGTAACAACTTTTGCAAGAGAAGGGCAGATGGAAAACAAGTAAAGATTGTAATAGTCTCAGGGGATGGCAAAAGTATGAATAGAGGATCTGAGGAGGGAATAGGTAAGGAAATGGTGGATTTTTAAAAAGGAGAAAAAAAGCAGGATTTGGTAAAGTCTGCGTACTGGATAAAAGGGAAAATAAGAGAACACCACCCTTAAGTTCTGTGGCTGGACAGTGAGTTTTGGGTGAAGGAGGAAGGGGTTAAGATTTTGGGGGAAGGAAAAGTTTTCTTTTTTTTACCTGTTAGCAGTACTGGACCTAGGAATAGGTTTCTGAAAGATGAGGAATTATGGCAGCGTCATGCACATAAAATTACAAGGTCAGACCCACAAAGGAGGTAGGTTTGAGTTTTCTTACGGGTGGAAATAGAAGTAGATCCCTTTTCTCTAGAGGAGAAGACAGGAACCTGTTGCAGTCTTGCAGAGTTACGAGATTTGGAGTGGGTGTATGAAAAAGAGGTACAGCAAACACCATTAGTAGGTATAGGGGAAAGGTTTAGCTCACTGGAGGAATATTCTACATACCTGGAGGCAGCAAAGAATGGAGCAATTCTCCTTGGTTCAAAGATGGGGTTATGAAATGGATAAGTTTGGAAGAGGGATCTCTTGGGATATTTTACATAAGGAGAAATTTAATTGGTGACCTCGGCGAAGGTGGCTTTATTTGAGGAAAGTAACCTAAAGCTGAATTTCAAGGGATCCAGAAAGGGTTATAAACGAAATACTATCTGGTAGGGAGAAAGTTCCCAAGAAAATGCAAAAAAGAGCTGTGCTGATATTTCTGGGGAAGGGGTGTGTGTTTATATGTGTATATTGGAGTCTAGAGGAAGGAACAGCAAGAGATAGATTAAGACCAAGAGTTGAGAAAGTAGAGAGTCAAGAAGGACTTAAAAAATGAGTATGAGATACTTCTGACTTGCAGTTTAGGGTGAAGATCAAGAAGGTGTGGGGGAAGTAGCGTATAAGAGAAGGAGTAATCTTCTAGCTTGTATTGTCTACTTAAATAAATGCTGACTGGAGAATTGTGGGTTGAAGAATAGCAATGGTGGGAGAAAGGCTAGTAATATTAAATAGATGTGTACTGGGTTTACAGATCTATCTTGCAGTTCTGTTAGCTGTTGGTCAAAAATGTAGTAAAACTATTTTGTCTGTAAGGTAAAAGAAATTCTATGTAGTGTTTTCTAAATCTTTGTGAGATTATGTTCTGTTTCAGATTCGTTCTTCTGGTGAGATTGTTCAGGTGAAGGTCTTGGGTGTTTTAGCTCTTGTTGATGAAGGAGAGACAGATTGGAAGATAATTGCTATCAGTGTGGATGACCCAGAAGCTCAGAAAATCCATGGCAAGTATTTTTATCTTTCTTAATGCAAGTTATGTCAGCAACTTGCACAGTAGAGTAGTATCTGAGTTTAGGCCACCTAGGACAAGAAGAGGCAGACAGCGGAAAGGCAAGACTTTTCTTTTTTTCTGTTGTTTAAATCAGGTGCTTCCTTCAAGGAGGGCATATGTGCTTTCACTCTAAGCTTTTGAAAAGGTTCACTTGGATTTTCAAGAGGACCTGCCATGCAGAAAGTCTTTTGACTTCTGAAACACAACTGCCTTAGAAAGTGACCTCTTAAAATTACAGGCTTATCTCCTGTGTAATAGTGCATATTTACCCACTCAGATTATGTAGCACACTGCTATTTTCCTTGTTGAAAGTGTTTGTTCCTTTTATATTTGCAGGCATTGTGTTGCATCTGAAAAGGGCTGTACGTTTCCAATGTTTTGTCACTTGTAACTGGGTTACTGCCAGGGTTTGTTGCCTAGTATGAATGCTTAGGTTTCACCTTTTAGCTTGAAAATTTGCAAAGTAAACTGCTAATGCAGCTCACCCTAGTATCAGCCTTGATGATGACTAGCTGTGCAGGGGGAAATATCCTGTCCAGACTTGTCCTCTCTGTGACCATGCTTCTGGTATCCAAATAGAATTCAAGTACTAAAATGTGTCTATGTGAATAGCACGTGAGGTGTAATTCTGCTTGCAGACTGTTCGATAAGAAGATGATACAGATGTGTTAAAACTGCAGGGGGTTAGGTTTTTACAGCACAGGTAAAGTGCAGCTTTTCTCTGGATAAATGGAGATTCACTTCCTCAAATGCAGTGTTACTGGGCATCGTGAGAATTAAGTGAGGAGGTTTGTCTAAAAGTTAGTGATTATTATGAGACCAAAAACCATATATACCATCAGGTATGTACGATCAGAACCTGCTCTTTGTTGGTAGGGAGCACCAAGGCACAGAGTGGCCTTTCTGTAGGAATAGGGCTATCCAGTAGCTTTTCAAGGAATTATGTTTCTCGGCCATTGAGGCTTTTTCCTGGTTTCTGAATGTAAAGTAAGTATATCGCTGGACTGGCCCTTCATTCTCAGTTTTCTTGCAGGTTGCTTTCACATGGAGAATACTTGGCTTGTGGGGAAAGAAGGGGAGAAGAGGAAAGGAGGAAAAGGAAACTCTTGGGTTGATGCTGATTAAAATCATTGGGCAGATGAATTACTACATAGTGTTTATGACTCTTTAACTACTTTGACAGGGATTAGGAAGTTCAGCTTAAGGAAATAGTAACTAATAGTTTGCTATTAATGTTAGTATCAATTTAAACCTCTCTATAATGTGCAGTGAAATGCGTTATGTCAGTAGTTAAAAGGCAAGTACTTAGTGTTTTATTTCTATACATTGTTCTGTTTAACTCTTACCTTTTTTCCTTAACAATTTCTGAGAGAGTTTAATCAGAAAAGTGGGTGAGAGAATTGAAATGGAGTCCACTAAGTAGGGGCAAAACTGGGACAGTTTATGCCACTGGGTTAAGTAGCTCTATTTGAGAGCCCTCTGTTTTGTTTTGTTTTGTCAGGTAATGACTGATTTGTGTCAGCTGTGTTACATCTTTAGTTTGTTTGGGAGGGGAGTAAGAGTTTTAGTCTTTTTTTTTTTTTTTATTAAAAAGGGAAAAAATGGGCAAACCATTGCCTGTAGTTGATTCCTCTGTGCATCCTTTCATAGAGAATAGGTGCAAAACTTCAAGGGGAGAACTGTCCTGAGGTTCAGAGAAATGCAGAAATATTTATCCAGTTTAATATGATTTCGCTTTGGGATTGGAGTTGCAGTCCAGGATTTACAAAAGGAGAGAAAAAGGAAAAAAAAAAAAAGCCCCCATCTGCTTTCACAAAACATGACTAGCTTGCAGTGTTTAACAGCAATCCTTCTTCAGTCTGAAAACAAACAAATCTGTTGGAGTAGGCAGTACAATATGTCCTTTTATACTTGTTTTTCCCCCCTTCCAAAAGATGTTAATTATTTCAGCATAAAGGGATAGCAGCTACAGATAAAACTGGTATCTCCCTCAATAATTGATGTGCTGCTGTGTTATGGTGGTGGCCTCCTAGGGAAAGATGAGGCTAAGTGTTGCCTTCTAAGTCTGTCCAGTCATTTTTGTATCATTTGCTAAACCTTTTGAATTGGACTGAGAATCATCACATTTGCTTTCAGCTCAGTATGTGCACAGCCCCCAGTGAACATTTGGAAAAGATAATTCCGAGCCACCAGCGTGGTGATTACTTGCAAACCCCATCCTGAGCCCGCGCAGTGTGTTAACTCCTCTTGCTGCTTTAAGCACACCCCAGGTACTCTGTATGTTCTCCTTCTGGGATTGTGATCATTCTCATAAGTGCGGTTGATTTTTCTGAGACTTCACAGAACTTAAAATTGAGCAGTCCCAACTTCTGAGCAGTTCTCATTGTTTATTCATAGCACTCCACTGTACTGTCTCCTGCAGGCATTTATTGATAAATACTGGTTTAAATTGGAAACCCTGCCTAGAACTCTCTTTCACACAGAGTAATGTGAAACTCTAGTTTATAGTGACAATAACCAGGAATGATAAGCAATGCTTAGCACCTGTTCAAGTGGGAACTGTGTCATCAGTGGGAATAGCAGGGGCTTAGTGTCTTTTGGACTGACTTTAGAAGGTAATATGTTTGAAATTATAGCACATCATACTGGTGGGCATGGGGACAATCTCACTCCAAATACAAGGTGTATGTCAGGTGCAGGTATCTGTATGAGAAAGTTTCTTTTAGACTAAAACTGGACATCTTCAGTTTTATCGATTTCAATAAGATCTGTCTTTGTAGCTACCTGAAAACCACTGTGTTGTCTTCCTGCTTGGGCAGTTGCTAGGCAGATGGCCATTAGCGGACCAGCAAAGCAACTTCAGACCAAGCAAGTCTGGGAAAGGGCCTAAAAGCTCCCTGCACACTGAAAAATCTTGGTGGTGTAATAGGCCCAGCTGCTTTTTTGTTGTTGTTGCTTTTTGTTTGTTTGATTTTTGTAAAATACTAGCCAGGAGAAGAAGCAAATTCTTGGAGTGGAAAGGGTGCTTGTCTGCTCAATTCATAATTCGGATTGAATTTAATATATTGGAATTCACATCCATATCTGATGTATTTTACAAGGTTGGGCTCAGAAAGGATGAGTGATATTTTCATGCTGTAATTTGGTTTAAATATATATGGCATCTTCATGTTGGACAAGAGGTTTTGAAAATCACTGGCAGTTGAAGCAGGAAGTGTGTCTGAAGCAGCTTATGAAAAGTCTGACTCTCAAAAGGTCATCTTGCCTTCCCTGAGCAAATTGAATAAATCACGTATGCTGGATGGCATTTTGGAGGTGATTTACCAGCCTGGAATCTTAGCAGCTGTTTTTTGCTATTGCTCACTGGAAGGATGCCTGGATGTATTCCAACAGCAGTTGGTGATGTCTACCAGCTTTGTTGCGCTACCATTTGCTGGCACTGGTATAGTTAACTGTGCTGTGTTGCCATGCTGCTTTTCCAATGTGCAACTCAAGATTGGCTTTTTGAGTTAAGTGATCAAACCCTAAATGGCAAAACCAAAGCGTATTGCATACTTTGTACCATATATTGTTATAGGCCCTTGCATGTGAGTGTATTTATATGCAGAGAAGCAGCAGAGGCCCTGAAAACCTTTGCTGTGGATTTGTGTAAGCATTCAATATAAAGAAATTAATTATCTGTACTGAGGCTCCCCTCCAACCCGCTCACACCATGCTGCACAAAATACACCAAATGCCTTTATATGGAATGTAGCTGCTGCTTCCTGTAAATGTTTATAAGATGTTATTAAAAACATATGTCCTCTCTTCCCACAGACCTTGTTTAGAAAGCTTGCTGCAAGCATGTTGTTTTAGCTTTGCTTGCAAGAAGCAGCATCTGTTGTACTAAAAATGGTAGTTTTGTACAAATGCTTTTGTTGCTCTCTTTTGTAAAGCCAGATAGAATTGGGATCTGCGTTTGCATTGGCTCACTCCCTTGACAGAGAGCTAGCAGCAGTTGTTTGTGCCAGCCTCTAGAGATTTTCCTTATTGAGACTAAACTGCAACCCTTAATGTGATTAGCCATCTCTTTTTAACCCTTGGTGCTTAACTTTGGTGCCCAGAAAAATGGGGCCTATGGTTGTATGTAGGCAGTATAAAGAAATTACTGCCTAGAGCCCAGTGGGTACGTGCTGATAATGTACTTGCAAGAGCCTGACCTTTTTGCTCTGCCACTCTGAGCAGGGCTTGCTTGCAGAGATGAAACCATGTTAGGCCAGGTGCATGCTTGCTACTCCTGTACTCACTCAGCCCCTTTTGGCATCAGTGTGAGTACATAGGTCTAAGGGAAGGTAAGCAGTCAGGCAGAAAAAAGTGTCTAACAGTGTCTGCTGCGGAAAAGACATCCAAGTGTGGTTTTTTTAATCATAATATGCAGCTAGCTTCTATAGATATTAGTGCAGTAAATCACTGTACTGCTTATCGTGATCTTTTACCTTTCTTTGCTTACTCTTCTGTTTTCTGAGTATGTTTTTCTCCTTCTCCCCCGATATCCCAAAGATGCTGTTTGGATTTTGAAGTAGAGGACAAGCTGTCTTTCAAGCTTTTCTATGGTGCCTTTTAATGAACTGAAGAGGTAGCTGTTGAGTGATGCGAGAGCTGCTGTTTTCCTTATATTTTGTGCTATGTGCTGACTCCACAGCAACAGGATTGATTTTTTTTTTTTGTTGCACTGTTGCACTTTTTCCTGCTGCTTGCCACCAGCTCCCATTATAATACAGATGTTTTGGTTGGTTTTTTTTCTTAAACCATTTAAGCTTCATTTGGTGCCCTGTAGCTGTCCTTCATAATAAAGAATAGTGAGGTGAAGCATGGATGTGAAGGAGAATAACTTGCAAGGAACCAAGGAAATAAAAGCAACCACTGTCCCCCTTCTTAAGTCCTCAAAACCAGAATGTACAGCAGCCAGTATTTTAGGGGCCATAAAATGCTGTAGCCTGATTTGTGTAGTGATTTTACCTAGGCAAGGTATTTTCCAGTAGAGAGAGTGTGAAATTCAGAGAGATGATTCTGTCCATGAAGATGGTCATCCCTATCTTAAGGAGGTAATGAAAGCCTGCCCCAAAGCCTATTCTAATATGAGTCCTTTAAAGAAATATAAACAAAGCCTATAAATAAGGAACAACAGATGGGGAAGGGCCCAAGTGTCAGTTAGTAGACAGTAAAGCAGTTTTGATGAACAGTTTTTTATGGGAATAGGCAAATAATAAGTAGGAGGAATGAAGAAGCAGAGATAGGAGAGAAGTTTGCTGGAACAGGAACCAGAAAAAAGGAGCAGCAGTCTGAGAAAGTATGCTTGAATTTAAGTAGTGGCTGGAGATGCAGATCTGGAGTTCGTCCACTGCTGGGAGCCAGGGAAATTGCTGCAGCAGCCTGCTTTGCTTTACAGACTTGAGGAGCTACTGTCTCTTCAACAAGTACTAGAAATTGTGAGTTCAAACCTCACAAGAGGAGGAGATGACAAGGGCTCAAGATGGGAGGAGGAATGTTCCCTTGCTTGGAGAGAAGAGGATGATACACTGGAGCCCTGAAACCGATTTGAATTGGAGCTGCAGTTTTATTAGTGCCCAAATGAGGCATCTTGCCTCCAGCCAAGAACCCACCCTTTTCTAAATCATTCCTTCTTAGTTGGTCTCACCCACCCCAGTGAAAGGTTTCTTGTATTCTTAAGCATGTATTCCAGCTAGAAGACCTGCCTCTAGCACAGCGTTATGTGCCCTTGCTTTTTTTCTGGGATTCTGGCAATGAAACTCCCTAATCTTCTACAGGCAGATGGCCAGCAGCCAAGTTCAAAATGTGTTTTACTCTGAGTCCATAAACACGTAGCCCTATTAAGTGCGTGCAGAAGCAAAAATTTACATAGGGTTCTTCAAAGTTTTGTTTTGTTCTTTGGGTAGTGTGTGATCCAGTGGAATTTGGGAGTGGCATCTATCAGATGCCTATGAACACTCAGCATATCTTCTCACATAGGTTTGGTCTCACAGTTCAGTCCACATGTCATCTCTCTTGGTGGTCTACAGAGAATTGAATGGTCTCTAGCATAAGACTTTTTCCCTTCTCTTACTGTTCTCATTAGAAATACTTGAATGTCTTTGTTCAGGTTCACAGACTAGATTTTAAAAAGACATTTAGGCACTTAAAGATGGAAAGCACATGACTAGGTGTCAATTCTGTGGACTAAGCAACTCTGAAAATCTGTTTTATAGGGCCGGATAGACAGAAGAGTATCCCATCAGGAATCGCTGCCAACCAGGAGATGTCAGTGAATGAGGCATATCTGTGGGAGAAGAGAGTGAAGTAGCCAAGCAGCATGGAGAGAGAGCAAGAGGGAATCAGAGGAAGGGAGAAATGAGCAAGTGACTTGCAAAACACTAGAGAAGGAGAATAACACCATGGAAGGTGGCCTGGGCAGAGTGAGGTTGTGAAATAGCTGGAAGACTGCATGCAAAGCACAGCAATAAAAAGTCAGCTCCCATTTCCATCAGAAGTGACTGTAGGAGGGAAATAGATGGAAAGAGAAGGATTACATCAGCTATAAAAAGTGCTTGGCTTCTGGAAAGGACAAAATCCTTCATTGTATCAAAATCAATTAAAATTGTATTGAAGACTTTTCCATGTAAACATATTGTTAGAGAGTTAATTTGCCAAGGCGCTGATAGGACCACCTCATTGCAAGTCACAGGAGTGATGGTAGTCTCACAGGAAAATCCAGTAAAATTTGTTATGCAGAGCAGAAGTAAACGTTTAAGATCATGAACTGCATCTTTGCTATAGCAGTATAGCCCTTGAACAGAACTACTGTGTGACTGTTTATAATCTCTCTGTACCCAATGGGGCAGTGTTCATCTCTGCCTCCCAAGGGTGTCCTGCAAATGGCATGCATTCCTCTTTGTGTCCTGTTCCGTCTTTGCACGGTAGGATTGTAGAGGTAGAGGTAGAATTGGCTTATCACTGTGAGTATGCAGATATCATGGGGTTATCAGTAGAATTAGTGTTTAGTGCACCTGGCACGTATCTGTCTTGTATCTAATGGGTTGAATTTGGAAGTAATGTGAGCAAAGGGATGCCTTTAACGTAACTTTGAGAAGTCAAGCCTGTATTTTGTTTTGAGGTGCTGGTTTAAAAATCCATGTGTTGAAATTGTTTTTACTAGCTATTCTTTCATTATCAAAAAATGCCTGTAGTCTCTGCAGTTGCTGAGGAAAAAAATACCGCACTGAATAATCTTAAGTGTTGCAAGAGGTGCCTACTGAGATGAAAGCCTATAAATACAGAATTTTCTTCCTCTCCTGTCACAAATATGGTCCTTTTATTCATTGTCCCTTTGGGTCTTAATTAATGAAGGGCAGGAGGCAACTGGTTTGCCTGTTTAGTGTGGTTGTGAAATCATATGATATCAACTATGGGCAGCTAATGTAATAAAGTGAAGTTCCCCAATGACTTTGAAAGTGCTCAGTGAAATCAAATTGCTTGCAGAACCTTTACGAGACTTTAAAAAAAAATGAATGTTACAAAAGTTGTGAGTAAAAATCACTAGTCCTTTTCTATTTTTTTTTTTCTTTTTAACCCACAGATATTGATGATGTCAAGAAGCACAAACCAGGTTACCTTGAGGCTACGGTTGACTGGTTCCGATTGTATAAAGTCCCTGATGGTAAACCGGAAAATCGGTTCGCTTTTAATGGAGAATTTAAAGATAAGGTGAAGATAATCCAAAATTAAAGATGCATCTTTCTGTCATATGGCCTCTTTAATACATCCTAGAATTTTTGGAATTGTAAAGGAGGTTTAACAAAAAGAATTTCTGTATTAGGGATCTTTGAATACAATTTATTAGGCTAGGAATAAATAATGTTTGCTGCCTTCCATTTTATTCAGGGAAAATGCATAGGTTATTAAAGGAAGTCTGAAAAAAACCATTCAGTCCTAATCCTGATGAGACTTACACACTCATCTGTATGTTTGTAGGTTTTTTCACAGCATTTTCATTCTCCCTGTCAGAGGAATGAACAGATTGTCTTTTTAGGTATTTTTTTCAGTCTTGATTGATAAATTTTCCTGACTTTTTTTTAAGGCTATGCAGTTTAAGACAGACAATAGATTGCAGATTTTTTCATATTTGGTATTTGCTCAAGGTATACATTTTCATGGTAATTCTACGTAAAAACATTCGAGCTGTTTTTGGATTGAGGGCTGAAAAAATATTTTTCCCTTTTTTAGAAAAAATTAATGGCGTTTTAAGCTATCTGCAGTAAAAATGGCCAGTGTTTGAAAGGAGAGTGGACCTGGGAATAGACCTTGCTGAAGAAAATACCTGGATTTCTCCAGAGGGAATTGCATGTAATTTGAGTAAAAGTGCTTTGCAAAACGTGTATTGCACACACTCTCTAGACTATTTTTGGCGAAGAATCACAGGTTCCTAATGAATGATGTCCATGTGTCAGCTAGGTTCAGCCTTGCAGTGTGCTATCAAAGTTACAAAATGCCTTCTAACCAGCACAGACAACTTTACATGTTTTGTCTGGTTAAAGAGATGCCCTGACTCCCCTCTGCACTAAAACTGTCTTTTAAATCAATCAAATGTAGACTTGTAAGGCTTGATAACCTGATCTCTCTCCTGTTCTCCCAGGAACTGCTCTTAGAGATTTTCCTGCTCTGTAAAGGAGAGTGTTGCTCAGTAGTGACAGTTTAACAGGGTATATCCCTGTCAGGCCATTGGAGTTCAGGCTCGAGGCACTAAATGCCCTGGGGTAGCTGGTTTGGAGCTCTTGAATAGTTCTCAAGCATTTCTAGAGACCCAGGATGTGGCGAGGCGGCCGTGGCTGTGCTCCAGCAGCTCTGGTGAAGTTCACAATGTTCCAGTGGCATTTTGCCAAGTTACTCCTTGTTAGGAAATGTGAATGTTCTGTTGGCAGCTCTTTGCAAGCCAGTCTAGATATCATCATCTGGACACTGAGGGCTTATTTTACTTTATTTTTATTTTTTTGAAGCTTTGTCATACCCACCCCCGGTATTACTTTTGTTTTTGAACAAACAAAAACTGTGAAGCAGCTGACACATTACGTTGTTGCAAATGCTTAAGTATATGGTTGGGCAATTAATGAAGTAACTGCAAATTTTGCCACTAGAGGGGAAACCTTAACTCTGACCCTGATGTGCATGCGTAACAGAGGAGTCAGCTCACACACTTTGTCCCATTTAGTACCTGGTACAGTTTTCTACAGCTGTAGGTGTCTGCTTAGCATCTAGTGCTGATTTCAGTTTTTTGCACAGCCTTCGTGTTTTCTGGCTGCGGACTGAGGGAAAGTCCTGAATGTGTTGCCAGTGTATTTGACAGATAGTGAAGCTTGTTTCTTTTCATAAAAAAGGGTGTTACATTTTCCAGAAATTTAATGAGGCCTCAAAGGAGGCCCCTTAAAATAACACATGAAATGATGTGCTTTAATAAACTAGTTCTGTGGCTTTTTTTCTGTTTAATAACATCTTAAATCATAAAGCTTTTCCTTGATGTAAACTAGGATTTTGCTGTTGAAATTATTAAATCCACCCATGAATACTGGAAAGCTTTGCTTCATAAAAAAGCTGATGGAGGTACTATTAAGTGGTAAGTATCCAGTCACGTCTTCTCCTCTTTGTATTGTGCTGGTACTGGTGGTATTCAACACGTGGCAGCTGTGCATGAACTGCTTTGATTTTTTTACTTTGAGATGACAGGAATACTCATGGTTTTGAGTGATAATTAATTGATAATAGACTATGATTGACTAATTGTACCTTGTATGACGATGATTTACTGGTAAGTGGTTCCAAAAATATATTGATTATATAAAAGTGACACAGATTACTTCAGCTGTTGAGAAATGGCCCCAGAGTGTTTGTTCGGGATCATTTTGGAAGAATCTTGGTATACCATGCAAATCCTCTTGTCACTATTTATTCCATCCTTCCATGTTGCATTGCTGTGATGGAAAATTCTTTTGCAGCTTAGCATTCTGTATTTTTTAGTTGCTCTCTGGAATGAGAGAACCAAATTATTGTTCTTTACTAGCCTTTGGCCTTATCTAAATTAAAATGGACTTTATCAAGCTCTCTGGACTGGTTTGCTGTGGCAGTTTTGGCACCAGAGGCCCTGAAGAGCAGGCAGGTATCTTTACAGCCCTTGGAAAGCACCAGGCGGATCACCATTAGCTAAACCAGAGGGCAAAGGCTGTGGGGGAAGCTGTGCTCAGATAGTCACTGTCGTCTTCTACTTTATTGGGAAAAAGTGACTTTCTCTCTCTTGGAGCTGATCGAACACCTTAGCAGTTGGACAGGTTGATAGTTCTGCTTTAGCATGGCAAGAATACTGTAGGATAATATTCAAATTTTGGTCTTGAGGCACTTTGAGCTTCATGTTGACCAAATTAAAAAATAATTAAAATTACAGTCTTGCTTTGAGGAATTTAACTTCTTGCCGTTTACTGTGTAGGACCTTAAAAACTCATGACCAAACTCACTTTTGGTGTGAAAGGATAGGGAAACATTTCTGCAAAGTATTTGGTCCCAGAGTTTGTCTGCTCTCTGGAAGCAGTACAGGTACTTGCTGCTTTATGTAGGAGCAGAATTTTGACCTGTTTTTTCCTTCTTGTTAGATACTGCAGGCAGGTTACTGCAAACCAACGGTGGCCTGCCACAGAATCTGGCCAGCCTTCAAGGCACAAGAGACGGGATATTCACACCATCTGTGCTAGCCATCTAGGTGTTCTTCAACTTGCTCAGGAAGTGCTGGTTTATCTCTGCTGACTTTTTTGGGTGATTTAGTTGTGGTCCTCTGAACTGTACCCAAGTTAGCTGCCAGAAGCACTGAGTGTGAGCACTGCTTGCAATAATGTAGAACTTATATAGTCTAAAAAAAGCCTCAAATCCAAAGAAACAAAGAACACCCCTCCACACTCCCTTTCCCTTCCAGCATTACTGGTTACTTTGTGTTTTTGACTTCCTCATTTCTTGCAGATACACATGTCTGAGCTCTGTATGTTAAGGTGGTTTTTTTCGACAGGTGCTTAATTGTGTGTGTGTCTTTTCCACTGGTCGATAAAACGTTTTTAATTTTATTTTTCAGCACAAATGTTCTGGTGAGTGGCAGCCCGTTTTGTTGCAGTGAGGAGGATGCCCGATCGATTGTGCAGTCGGTAAGGATAATATTTACTTTTTTTCCACACTTTTAAAAAAAGTGATTAATAGGAAAAGAAGATTCAGAGCTCCAAACCTGAAAGTAGCTAAACTGAAATGGTCCTCAAAAAAAAATTTAAGGCATAAAGTAAAAGGAAGAGCACAAAGGTTGTGGGGGAAATGTAAGCATTATAATAGAAACCTTTCATTGCAGTGGTCCAGTTGTGCTTTCTGGCAGGTTCATTACTGTTCTGTTGGGTTTTTTGTTGGGGGGGGGGGGGGTGTTTTGGTGGTTTTGTTTTGGTTTGGTTTTTTTCTCTCTCCCTCTGCAGTGCTGTTTCTTCTGATCCTGAATAGCAAGATGGACTGCTATTTGTATCTAGCCTGCTGTCTTCTCTGTCTCCCCTGTTGCCATGAGTTACCACTCAGTGCTAGAACTCATTGACTAGCTGACTGTAGTCCCTAATCACTAAAGGGATCCTTTGTTTGTCTACTTGCATAATAAAATGCATTGCTGTAAGAGAGGGGGATGCTTTTTTGAATATTTCTTAAAGAATGCCTGTCATATTCTGAAAATTAACATAAAATTAAAACATGCAGGTTTCCTGTTCAGGCGAGAAAAATGTCCTGCAGGTCTGATGCTTTCATGTGCAAATGCTAGTGAAGGAGAATTTCTTCCATTTTAACATATGCTAGTTCAGATGCCAGAAATTAAGCAAAGTTACCAGAAATTACATGGAGAAAAGTACCCCCAAGTATTACTTTTTTTTTTCAGACATATGCCATGATTGAGCCTGTGCTCATGACCACGACAGGTGTTTTGCACATGTGCGTGGCTGCCTGGGCAGCCAGTGTTTTGCCCCAATATTCACAGTAATTATGCAAGTTCAGGTGTCAAAGGAGACGCCATCCACTGTCTGTGCAGTTAACATTCCAACAGCGTTTCTAGTAAGTGTACGTTCTCCTGGGTGGTGTTTTGTCACAAGCAAATAAGACTGTCAGTTGCAAAGAAAAGTTGGTTTAAGTCATAAAGAAGTGTCAAACCTAACTGTTCTTCCTATTCAGGTCTCTTGCTTTCAACACTTCTTTAAAAGGATCTTTATGGTTGCACTTGTGAATATTAATTAATGGGACTGTAAGTTTAAAATGAAAGAAAAACTCATTTTGGAATTCAAATATGTTTTTAGATGTCATCACAGCTATAAGGAAATATTTACCTCCTCTGTACTTTCAAATTTACAATAAATTTTAGTTAGTATTTAAATGCAACTAAAATTTCAAGTTCAAATGTATTTGGATGGTGGCAAGCTTGCAAAGGAATATTTCCTTTTGCATTCTATGCTGTTTGTACTTTGAAGCATGTAGAGTACATAATTATCTGTTTAAATCAGCAGTTTCTGTTATTTTGTCTCTTAATAACAAATCAAAATTTTTCCTGTTTTTTCTGGGGGGAGATGAGTAAAACCAGTTCACAAAATAGGTACCTTGTATCAAACTTTAATGTCTTTTTTATTATGAGCGCTTGCTGCCTTATCAAATATTATCACTTCCTGGCTTTTTTGTGCCTCACATTTATTTTCTTTTAAGTGATACTGTTTTTGTGAAGTTGTCATCACATACTCCTTTCCATCATTCTGTTTCAGTTCAATCTAAGTATTTTAATTGTGTCTTTGTAGGCTACTGTCTCTTGGCACTTTTCAGACAGGGAAAAGATGCAGTACTCTTTTAAATACTGTTCATACTGCATGCAATTTCCAATCTACGATAACTAAAAAAAGTAAAATGCTCTTGAAATATGAATGGTGGACAGTCAAACTCTAAATATAAGCAGGGAGGTTGACTTGCACATTTTAAGCAGGTATCTTTTTGTCTAGTACACTACACTGCCCACTTTGGTTGTCAGGCATTCATCTCTTTCAAACTGAAGTGAAAGTACGTGAGTGTTGGCTGTAGAATTTTAATGGCTGTGGTATTTTTAAATGAAAGCTGCCTGTGTCTGGTTTTTTTTTTTGTTTGTGTTTTTGTTTTTTTAAACTAAAAGCAGATATATTTTCTTCTAATTTATGTCCATCTATTAACTTCTGGATAAAAACAGAAGAATGAAAGCTGAGGTAGAGATTTTGTATGCAAGTACAGTAAGAAACGTATTTCAGCCACTGCAAAATTTCTGAGCTACTTGTGCAGTGAGAGCTGGTTCCGTACAGTTCTGTTTCCTGGGTCAGACTCCAATTACGGAATTTTTGAGTGGGTGATAATTGCCTTAAATCAGGTCTCTTGAGTTCTCAAAAAACAAACCCCCCCCCCCCCCCAAAAAACCCAAAAGGCAACACTCAGTATTGTTACGAACCAATTTTTATGGTGAGCGAGAGAACTATAACTAAGAACCAAATGGAAAATAAACAAATCCTTACCAAATGCTTACCAAATTGTGCACTAATCAGAATTTCATACAGATTTTGATCAGGTAGTTCCCAAGATAGTCCTGTTGATTTCAGTAGGATTTATTGTGCTATTATTTGACCTTTCATTATTTTACAGATGTGGGACTAGAATGGCTTGTCTGTGTTGGGGAATTTCCACTCCACTGAGTTAGTTTCTAGACGGTGGGCATAGCTACTGTCATCTGTATTGGCGGCAAACGAGGAATGATTCTACAGCTGGTGAAGTTGCCATGTCCAGTCAATCCCAAAGAGATAGAAGATAATCTGTGCATATGGGAACACATACTGAACATTTGAACCAGCTAAAATTACACCAGCCCCCTGCAACTACAAACCCAGTTGAGTTTTAACACTAGGTGGTAAAAATTTCTGGTGTTTTCTAGCCTCTGAAAATTGTTTCATCTCTTTCTCAGCTCTAGTGTTAGTGTATGTTGAAAACTAAACCCAGGAGGAATAGAGCTTTGTAGCTGAATGTGTTAGTGCTAAGATGTACTGTTTATTTCAGGCTTTTAAGTGTTGCCATCTGTAAAACTGACCAGGACAGCCAAACCTTTGTTTAACATTCATCCTGAGAACCGCTTGCTCACTTGCTCTGTGAAGAAGCTGCTGAGGACTTTGCAAGTTGGAAAATCTCCAAGACAATCTATATATAGTTAGTAGAGCAGTGTTTCTCAGACTTACCACATAATTCTTCCCTTATAATACTGGAAATTGAACTAGGAAAGCTTTGCTAGATGAGGTCTCTTTTGATAAAATGCAGAACAATATCTTACAGGGGAAAATACTTGGCTTCTCCTGATAATTTAAAAAATCTCCAGCAAAATTTGAATCTGTATACTTACTAACATGTTTCAAATAATTAAGATCTAAGCAAGAAAGTCTGTTAACTGCCTTTCTCCCTACATGTTTTCTGTGAGGACATTTCCATTTGGGACTTAGTAGAAGCAGAATTTTCTCTTTAGTGGCCAGTTGTGAAACAAAAGATTGGTGGGTTTTTTGCTGTGCGTTTTTTGGGGGGGTTTTGTTTGTTTGTTTTGCGGGGTTTGGGTTTTTTTTTTACATTATTTTGTTTGTTTGTTTTAAACAGTGTTCCAAATGAAAGGGTTGGGTAGTGAAGAGATTCCTGGTTCAGTGGGATGAGTTTTTGACCTGTTCCTGGTGGGAAGGTGCCGAGTCCTTATCTGAAACTTTGAGCAATTATCCCAGAAGTGGCAGGCACCTGCTTGTACATGGTGACCACTGGTTCTCCCTGCCTTATGAGATAAAGCTTTGGTTTTACTGAAAAGAGAGGGGATGGTCTGGTGTTAAGGCCTGGAAGATGCTTTCCATAGAGTGTAAGAGCTCTTGATCCCCATGTGTAACAAATCAGGAAAGGAAGGCAGAAAACTGGCATGGATGAGTCAAGACCTGCTCGTCAAAATAAAGGGCAAGAAGGAAATGCACAGAAACTGGAAGCAGGGACAGGTATCCCAGGAAGAGTATAGGGACATTGCCCGGTTGCACAGGGACAGAGTCAAGAAGGCCAAGGCGCAGCTGGAGCTGAACTTAGGAAGGGACACTAATAATAATAATAAGGTCTTCTGTAGGAATGTCAGACAGAAAAGGAAGGTCAAAGGCAGTGTACCCCCCCGATGAACGCAACTGGCAAACTGGTAACAACAGCTGAGGAGAAGGCTGAGGTACTGAACAACTTTTTTAACTCAGTCTTCACTGGCAGCCTTTCTTCCCACACCTCTCGAGTGGATGGAACTCAAGGCAGGGACTCGGGGAGCCAAGTCCCTCCCAGTGTAAGAGAAGATCAGGTTCGTGACCGCCTGAGGAACCTGAACATACATAAGTCTATGGGACCTGATGAGATGCATCCCAGAGTCCTGAGGGAATTGGCTGATGTAGGTGCCAAGCCACTTTCCATGATACTTGAAAAGTCATGGCAGCCAGGTGAGGTCCCCAGTGACTGGAAAAAGGGAAACATTGCACCCATTTTTAAAAAGGGTCAAAAGGTGGGCCCTGGAAACTACCGACCTGTCAGTCTCACCTCTGTGCCTGGGAAGATCATGGCACAGATCCTCCTGGAAGCTATGCTAAGGCACATGGAGGACAGGGAGGTGATTCGAGACAGCCAGCATGGCTTCACCAAGGGCAAGTCCTGCCTGACCAACCTAGTGGCCTTTTTTGGCCTTTGACACGGTCCCCCACAACATCCTCCTCTCTAAATTGGAGAGAGATGGATTTGATGGATGGACTGTTTGGTGGATGAGGAATTGGTTGGATGCTCGCATCCAGAGAGAGTGGTCAATGGCTCAATGTCCAGATGGAGATCGGTGACGAGTGGTGTCCCTCAGGAGTCGGTATTGGGACCAGTACTGTTTAATATCTTCATCAATGACATAGACAGTGGGATCGAGTGCACCCTCAGCAAGTTTGCAGATGACACCAAATATGACTCATGCTAAATCCAAAACACAGCGCTGTATGAGCTAGTAGGAAGAAAATTAACTCTATCCCAGCTGAACCCAGGACACATGGTTCACCTAAGTGATTACTCCTGGGGTTATCCACTTGGGTAAGCGTAGTTGGGGTGGGCTTGTGTCATGGCAGAGGCCAACATCCACATGTTTTGCACTTGATTTGTGTGTGCGAGTGAGCGTGGCAGGATTCCTTGTGCTGAGATGCTCTCTGCTTCTTTCCCATCAGTTATGTCAGTTGGAAAACTTGTCTGTTTGTGAGGAGCTGATGGAAGGGCAGCGGAGGATTGTTGCTATACAAGTAACTAGCACCCTTGTCGTGAGGCAGGTTGCTTCCAGCTGGTGTTAAAACTGGCTTTAATTTTGTCCTTTACATAATAGGATGAGACATGCTGTGTAATACTGCGATTGGATAGTGGTGTATCCAGGTTTGAGATGGACCTGGACTTACAGACCTACATTTTAAAATTATGTGTCACTTTCCACAGAACTGAATCCTGCTCTGTCAAAATGTGGTTGTAAAAGAGTTTAATTACACATTTATTTAAAAATGTTTGCATATGTGTAATGTGAATTTTGTGTGTGTGTGTATATTCACGTGTACCTTTATACTGAAACATGTATAGTAATATAATTGGAAAGGCATTTTTACTCTTTAGTATGTAAACAGCAAATCCAGTTATCCTCAAAGACAATACAATAGGAAAATCCCCTTTACATTAGGTAAGATGTTAATCTATCACGCATTATTAGTGTGTTTGTTTTGTCATTTATGAGCAACCAAGAAATTTGTACAGTACAGGAAAAAAAGGGGGAAAGTCTGTAAGGTAGAGCGTTGTCTTGTGAGGGCAACAAAGTTCTGTTTTTATTAATATCTCTTGACTTCAGCAGTAAAATAGCTTTGAGTTTGGGTGCTACCTGTGAAACTGTAACTAAACTCCGATATTTTTCTTGGGTGTTTTTTGTGGTTTGTTTTTTTTTTTTTTAGGCACCAGTGCCTGTGAATGGAGATTCTGTTTCCCCAGAAGGTACGTTTTTCCCCAAACGGCATGCAATTTCTTTAATCGTTTGCTTTAAAAATTGACATAAAAACTGTTGTTTTGAAAAAAGGTGGTTTTGTGCACATGAGAATGATAATAGTTATATTCTGTCAGACTGTAATGCCTGTCCCCTGTTAAATAGAACATGGGCAGAAATTCATGGATGGTTTGTGGGAGAAGATTACTTTTGAGTATGAGTGAAAGTGTAGTCCACATAAAAAGATGAGAAGACTAAATTTTTCTGTCACTGATCATGGAAGGCAAATGCATGACATTTATCCTTTTTAAAGGAGAAAGGTTGCTTTGCCTTAGTTTTTGTCATTCCTCACAGTAGCTAACTAATCAAATAAACAGCCCCTTTTCCTAAAAGTGACATAACCATACTTAATTTTCAAGTGTAAGTTCTGAAGACAAAATTCTCTCTCTCACTGTTATGACTGTTTTTCACGTTAACAGAACATGTGTTTTTCATCAAAAAATGAACAAAAAAGAAAATGTAGGATGCATTAACCACTTTAAAAAAAAGAGATTTTTCTACTGGCAGGAACTACGGAGAGGACATACGTGCTTTTTGAGATGGAGGGAGTTACAGAAACACAAAGAGAAACTTAGTCATGAGTCGAGTTCCAGATTGTTTGCAAAGTAACATCTGTGTAGCCCATGTCATGGGAAAGCAAGTTGCATTCCATTTGTCCTTATATGGCATGCCAATAAATAGCATTTATTTACTGAAATACTACATCGCAGACCTCTGACAGATAACTGAACATGATCTGCCTGATCTTTGATGTTTTCCAGGGATGGTCACGTCAGTGTTGTAACTTGTTGCAGGATTGTTTCAGTCAGACTGTTAAAGTGAACAGATACTATTTTGAGGCTATGCTTTACATGGGCTGGGGATAGAGCTTACCCAGAAGTATTGTTGTGGGAGGGGAGATAGCTGAAAGGGCAGAATGTTGCTTTTTCAAGTATTTGTGTCTGGCTAGTTGTATAGAACTAATGTCATTCTTGATGTGGTTTTTTTTTTTTGCTTTAGTTGATTCCTGGCACTTTTTTCCCAAGTGATCGTCAAAGTGTTCTGAAGCTGCATTATCAAATCTTAAAGTCATCCCTTTTTTGAAGACAGGCAAAAGCACTAATTGTTGGGTTCCTGTTGAAACAACTTTTCAACTTGTGTAAACCTTCTCTCATGTAAATAAACACTGACATTATAAAATGACTGTTTCCTTTCTATGTCTGTCTTTGTGCAGGGTGGAGCAGAGGGAGGAGGAGGGCTTGCTTGTTTGTTTCTGAATCTCAGAACTCCAGAATTGCTCTTAGCCACTCACGAAGTATAGTATCAAATGAGATGGGAGATAAGGTGTCTTCAACCTTGTTCTCCAGATTTTGGAATAATCCAGCCATCAGGTGCATAGAAGGCTCTGTTAATTTGTATCTTAGGGCTTGTCTGGCCACCCCGACTGTAATCTTTTTCAAGTAGACAATCATCTTTATGTAATAGGCTTAGCAGTTTACCATGTTCTTTAATACGCAACTGTGCACTGTTTCTTGTAGTTGTATTCACTTTTGTGCCCAGTTGTCTTTGCATGCTTCGTAGAGTTATGAGCAGAGCATGCTTGCTTTAAAAAAACAAACACAACTTCACTCCAAAGAGTAATTCAACTAGGAAGGGCTAATGCCATAATAATTGAAGTAAGGATGCACGTGTGCTCTCTGTACTACATCCTGTTTTGACAACTTGTGCGTTTCATCACACAGGAAGGACTTTCCTTAGGGAAACCTCCAATTTTTAGAATTGTGTACGCCTGAAGGCTTTTGATAGTGCCTCATTCAGTGAGGCAAGATTAATAAAATGTATAGAACTGAGCTTTGTGCTTTCATGGTAAAAAATATCTGCCACTTTTTCTACTGCTGGATTATATCTCATCTGTCTGTACCCACAGTGTTCATTAAAAACAAAAAAAGACAGCTGCTTAGAAAGAGAGGAAATGGTAATATAGACAGACAGCTTTATCCAGCTTGTTACTGAGATGAAAGGTGAGTGTTGTCTGCTTTGTATGATAACTGAAACAAAAGGTTAATATTGCTGACACAGGATGGAAATGGAAGATAAAGGACTGAAAAAGTTAGGCTGTGGCTTGCCATAGAGGACTAGCTTTTCCTTACAAAGAATTAAGTTATTAGTAAGAATGCTTTCGCCTTTAGGAATGTTTCTTTGATTTTAGGAGATGACTTTCCTGGTTTAGAGACTTTCCTCTAGAATATTGTCCAATGTATAAGCACTAGTCACTTGGGAAATCTCACTTTGGGCCTCAACGCTTATGAAAAGATGGAGTTCTCCTGTCTGCATAGAGTTTTGCAGTGTTTTATACACAGAGTTTGGGTGTGGTATGAAAAATGCAACATAAACCTCAGATATTAAGGACTTTTTTTTTTTAGTCAAGAGATATGTTACATCCAACATACACTTACAGTACTGATTTTCCATACTTTATTTTACACTTCAGAATTCTAAGTATGTGTAGCATTATACCTACAGATA